TTTGCCTTATTCCTTAATCATCCTTTGTCAAATTGTCATTAGATGCAAGCAAAAGTACTGATAAGCATGATTCAATATATGTGTTATGACAAATGTTTACTAATTGCTGATATTTTCTTCCTCCTCACCATAATGCATTCATTACACTAACCGGTCACTGTCAATCAGATACCCAATGTGAATAATTGTGGTTATTTTCAGAAAGTCCACAGTAGTTGTTTGTTTGTGTGTGCGTGTGTGTGCACATATAACTCTAAGCAGTTACAGTCTTCTAAACCCATTGACTTAGAAGGGTGCAACTGTGCATAGGATGGCACAGTAAGATGCAGATAAAGCAAGTTACTGTAGTGCATTCACCACTTGCCTGACTTCAGTAAGTTACTTCTGCTGTGTTCTCCATGTTGGATACTTTTCAAAGAGAACTCGCAAGAGTGTAGCTAGCAATGGACGCACTGGGGGGGGATACACTGGGAATTCATGGTTTTTATTTCTGGGCTTCAACAAGTTTAACAAGGGATATTATACCACTATGTACACACACAACATAAGGAATACAATTTGTATACAACTTACAACAAAAATGTTAACTCTAAAATGTTAGCAAAACAATAAATAGGGTCAAATTGTACACTGGCCATTTTCTTCCCTTATATACAGAATTGATGGCGTGGACAGGTGACCAGCTGCTCTAGTTGAGCAGCATAAGAGTACAGCATAACCAATTGCAAAGGCACTGAGCGAACAATTTTCCTTCTGCTTCTAGCAACCCAAGAACCAGACAAATATTTTGTTTGTCACTATAACAATAATTTAAAGAGGGAACATCATCTTCAGGCCAGTTGTCCTGAATTTACTTGGAAGGGGTAGGGGTGGGAGAGAGAACTAGGACATGCATCACGTATGAGCTGTAGCAATTGTGCCGCCATGTTCGTTCACTGGATCCCATTTTGCAAACTTTTGCTCCCTTGTCTGCTTCACAGCAAGCCAGAGCCAGCGGCAGACTCTCCCAGAAGGGCATGGTAGTGTATAAGACAAAATTAGACTGCAAGGCATGTAGGCAGGGTGTGCATGAAGAAGCAGACCACATGTTATGATCGGTACTGTATTGGCAATAATCTGTCACTGCAGCCATCAATACACAGCAAAATATATCAAACAAGCAAACACTGTGATTAAAAATGACAATGACATTTAATAAATCTTATGAACATCAAAATATATTACAAATGAAACTTTTACAACATTACTAAGGAAATTCTAACATTCTCAAGGAAAAGTCCACCATCCTCAATGAGCACCTGGTTATAAACTCATTTCACCAATCTTCCTCAGGAGTAATCCTATTATATTGAAAGGAGTCAGGCTATTTGATAAGAGAGCATTTGTCAGCCTATTTAAAAAGAAGGCTTGTAGCCGGGTAGAAAAGAGGACAAAAGAGGTCTGAAGTGCCACTCCTATAAACAACTAGAGAGCAATTGAGCCAGCAACTTGAGATAGAGAGCAATTGTTAGCCAATTGAAAAAAAAGAAGGCTTCTAGTCAGATAAAAAAAGAGGACAAGTTGCTACTACTAGAAATTAATTAACTGGCTTGCTCCTAATTCAAACACTTGAAATGGAACTAGAAGATAATTTGAAGAAAGTAAAAAAGAAGTTAAACTGTAACAATTTGAAAATGGAACCAGAAGATAATCTGAAGAAAGTAAAAAAAGAAGTTAAACTGTAGCAAGAGGCTGACTCCTTTCAATAATAGGATTACTCCTGAGGAAGATTGGTGAAATGAGTTTATAACCAGGTGCTCATTGAGGATGATGGACTTTTCCTTGAAAATGTTAGAATTTCCTTAGCAATATTGTAAAAGTTTCATTTGTAATATAATTTGATGTTTGTAAGATTTATTAAATGTCATCATTTTCATCACAGTGTTTGCTTCTTTGATATATTTCCTTGCAACTGTGATCCCCTTTTTTGGTTTAATCAATACACAGCAGCCAGCCTATTAAAGCTCAACATGGGCAACACAAGAGGAAGACAAGGTTCAGACTGTCATTCTTAAGGCTATGCCTAAAAGCAGAATTTCCCCCCCAAAGTCAAAATAAAACCAGCATGTTGTTATAGATGGTGTCTAAGACCAAATAAAAAGTCCAGGTAGAAATAAACTAAAAGCCATATAAATATTCCACATGGAAAAAAAGATCTGCCTGCTAAGTTTATGCTTTCAAAAAAAAGTAAATCATTTAATACCCCAAACTTTGCTTATAAGAAAAAATGCTAAGCAAATAATTCCAGTTGAATTGAAGGAAAATGAATGCAATCAGTATTTTCCTTGCTTATCTATTAGGTATCACATTTCTTCAACACCATTATAAAATGTATATTTTAGCACACAGTCAGCATGCTCAATGTGTCTCTCCATATTGTGGAGCCACCACTGGGCAGCCAGATAGCCAGATCATTTTATATGGAGATCTTAAACTCTGATGAGGACAATTACAAAAGTATACTAAGTAGAAGAAAAAGCCCTCAGGTATTCCTAGCCCAGCAGGTAGATTAGGAATGTATTCTGTATCAAATAACAGCATCAGTTCTGGATGGTGATCTACCTCCAAATACTGCAATGAAATCCAGGAGCAGACAAACCATATAGGTTCTCAGGCTACCTGCTAGAAAATGCCATTGTACCTTGCCATGATGGAGCGTACTTCAGCTTTGAGGTCTGTTCACTCTTCTGAAGAGTTACTAAAAACTGAATATTCTGAGCAATGTCACAGCAAGATTAGTTTTAAATTCTATGAGGTTAATGTTTTCATCACCGAATGTAGATTGAACATGGAATCAAAATATTTAATTAAATGTTTAGTGGTTTCATGACCAGGTACCATAAGATATACAAGTTGTAAGCTAGCACATTTTTTGTGTTCAGATCCAATGCTAAGTTTCAAAGCTACTCCTACCTTTATCCTGGCTCTCAATAGAAAGGACAGCAAACTTGAATTATTAGTCCACTGATGCTCAAAAGGACATTTAATTTGCCCATGTACTTGCTTTAAAAATTATTCAAGTATTCCTTAGCTGAAATTATTGTATTTATGAAAGCAACAATGACAAATTAATTCAATCTTTTTCATAGCATAACCAGATCCCCCTTTTGTTTGGAGCATTTAATATCATATCATCAGTGTTTTTTTTACCATTCAAGTCACACAGTCAACTTATGTTAACACTAGAGAGTTAACATTACAGAGTGCATTTTAATCACCACATCATGTACATGTAACAAAAAGACTACATGTAAAATATTGTGTGAGACAATGCAGTTTCAGATCCTCAATAAGAGGCTGGGTTTCGAAAATAAACAGGAAAGTCCATAAATGGGTAGAAGGATGAGTAAAGAAGCACCCTTAAGTGGGAAAGGAAAATATTACTGATGAGTGAGTACCAATGCACTGAGCTGTTTTACTAGTGCAATCCCACTGCTTGTTTTATAAACAGTCCTGATAACAGCAGATAAGGCAAGTTCTTGACATCTTAGGAAATGCTAGTGTTCCTCCACCGAAACTACACAGTAGAATAACATGGCACTGGGCTTGTTTAGAACATTTCCCAGCTCAGCCTTGTGGTTTGAGTGTAAAAAGAATCAAGTATTTGCTCTAAAATGGCATTACCCTTAAAAATACTCGTTTGAGCTTTCTGCAACCTGATAGCATTTCACTTTCAAGGCTCAAGTGCTGAGTAATATGCAACAGCAGCACACAACAGCAGATGCTCTCGTGGGAAGCCAGGAGAAACTTATTTACCAGGAATATGACAGGTTCAACAATTTAAAAAATATAATTTCCAGTCAAATGAAGTCTCAGAAAGCTAGTTAATAACTGGCAGAGGGAAGAAGGGTGATTGTTGATCATGGTACCCAGATGCCTCAATGATCCCACTGTAAGCAAGATCCCCCAAATTCCTCTCAGGAACCGGAAGTCACTTACATGGCTTCTCTCTCTGCCTCTACATAACATATGAACAAAGCCTCAAATCAAACCGAACATGGCTCCTCTTGGGGTCTTTCAGCACTGAATTTAGGAGCCTGCTGAGAACAAAAATCTCCCTCCCCACTCCTGCAAAAAGAACACCAGTAGTCTGCTGAAGTGACAAGACATTTTACCAGAGCAAGGGAACAATGGATCCAAGCCACAATGTACTGCTCCTGTGCAACCTTAATAGGAGCTTTTAGGTCCACATTTAAATGAATGGAAGTTATACAGCAGCAATGTTAAGTAGATTGTTCCCATAATCAAGTATGGCCTCCTTTGAAGGAGAACACATACTCCAAATAATTCCCTGCCCTCTGGACATGGGTCAGCCCAGAGCCACCAACACATGCAACAGTATGAAGGCCTAGATGCATCAGGGAATTTTCACGTGTGTTAAGTGGGGGTACCACCTCATGCTATTCCTGGGGATTCCCAGTGTCCCAAGAGCAGCATTTCGGGGGGCATTTTGGGCTGCAACAAGAGAGGGGAGGCAGGGAAGTCACAAGCCATAGAGAGAAATCCCTTCCAACGACAGAAGTGTCCTTGGAGATCTAAGCCAAAGTCTATGCATAGGAACAGCCTATGCTAAAGGAATGGAAAATTAGACATATAGGTATTTGTGGAGAATGTTTAGGGAATTCAGAGAACTCCACAAATCTGTAATAACCACTCTTTGCAAAAAAGAGTGAAGTCTGTAACAGTACAACGTGAAACAATGCAAATGGCAATATACAAAGCAAAAGAGGACTCTCAGGATGTGAGGTTCCATTTGTCTACTTACAACAAGGCTAATGTGATTAAAATAGTCACTCACAAAAATGTCTTCTTCCTACACATTTCATTTTTACACAGGTTACATCCCAGCAGCTTCTCTTGAACAAAATCTGGAGCACCATCAGTCACAGTGACAAGCTCACAATCACCATACAGCTTAGAATGAATGTATTATGTTACGATAACAGAGGACGTAAGGGCAGATGTGTTTTGTGTAATATCCATGTCACAAATGATAGCCTTCATAGCGACTTCTCCGTCAACTCCACCTTAAACCTCTCCAGAAATAAGGATCTGTAGATTTTGGCCAAGTATTAAGCCACACGCTGATAATTATTGCAATACCACCATCTTTACTGAAGCAATGAATCAATCACAGCTCCTGGCTTTGCAGAACGTTTTCTGTAGGGGAAAGAGGAAAACTTAAGTCTAAGTTTATATAACTTATAAGCACAAGAGAGATGGTAATGCTTTTCAAATCAAACATGAACAAAAGATGTGAGCAAAAAGAAGAGAAGAAGAAGAGACTGGATTTATACCCCGCCCTTTTACTCTGTATGCTCATAATTTTTTTTTGTTATAACCATATGTATGTGGCTGGTCTAGCAACCGTAATAAATTCTACTACTACTACCCTGCCCTTCACTACTCGAAGGAGTCTCAGAGTGGCTTACAATCCGTTTACCTTCCCCTCCCCACAACAAACACCCTGTGAGGTAGTTGGGGCTGAGAGAGCTCCCTTGAGAACTGCCCTTGAGAGAACAGTTCTGAGAGAACTTATAACTGACCCAAGGTCACACCAGCAGCTGCATGTAGAGGAGTGGGGAATTAAACCCAGTTCTCCTTGGTTAGAGTCAGCATTCCTTAGTTCAAGTGATTGCAGGAGAAATCTCTAAAGAAGCCTCTTCAAAAGGTGTGTGTAGTTATCATGTGACAAAGAAGAACGTGCACACTCTGAACTGATAAAATTATTGCTCCTACAGCTTGAGTGCTGTATTCAGGATAGGTGCACGGCATAAGTAAGACCCAAACCAACACTAGGTAAGGATGAGGGTGTGGGTGGAAGAGTAGCAAAGAGAGCCAGTGGCATGGGGGGGCCCACAATCACCGTCACTGGAGATAGGCAGCTACAGTGTGTGCGCACGTGTGTGTGTGGGGGGGTAAACAGACTGGTTCAAGTGAAGGGGAGTGAAGCACTTGACTGGCTCTACCCAGACCATCCATTATGCTTTGGACTGGCCCTTGGCACTATCCACTTCACATTTTATACATTCTAGTGACCTAGAAGAATAGACAGGCAGTTGGTTTCTTTTTAAAATTCTAAGACTGCCTTTCTGCCACAGATAATTAAAACATGAATCATTCCATGTTTTAGCTAACTCAAATTAGCTTTAAAAAGTGTCGTTGTCTACAATAGGAATAATCCAGCCTGCTATGGGTCAGTAGTGCCACAAGACACAGTCTTCAAGGATGTAAACATGCAAGATTTGTTCATATGCAGAGGAAAAAAATTATTCCACCTGTGATGTCAGAATGTGTTGGCACAGGTCCTTACTGGAATACCATGGACAGCACATATTCAACCTGTGCTGTGCCAGCTCCACTGGTTCCAGGTGGAGTACTGAATCAGGTTCAAGGTTCTGGTACTACTGACCCTTAATGCCCTAAACGGTCAAGAACCTATGTTTCTTCTGGACCGCTTCCTCTGGTAACCCCTCCAAAGAGTATTACGCTCTGCAGAGAAAAATCTACTGGTGATCCGCAGCCCGAAAGAGATCCAGCTGTCCTCAATCAGAGCCAGGGCCAAAAAGGCCCTGGCTCCGACCTGGTGGAACTCTCTGCCAAATAACATCCATGCTCTGCAGGACCTAATGCAGTTCTGCAGGGCTTGCAAGGTAGAAATGTTCCACCAGGCCTTTGGTGGAGGACAGCGATGTGTTCCACCTCATCTGGCACTCCATCTCCCCTGTTTTCTGCCCTCCCACAAGGCAGTGGTGCAATTTGAAGTTTTTAGCACCATCTGGTTATGTGTTAACTGTGTATTATTTTATTGTGCTGAACTGTTTTTATTAATTTATTAATGTGTTTTATGTTGTTCACCGCCCCGAGCCTTGTGTATACAGTGGAGGGTAGTCTAAAAGTTTAATTTATAAATATTTATAGATTATCTTCATCAGCATCTCTGCTTTTATGGTGGTCAATGCAGCTTTCATCTAGGGTGGGACCACAAAGTTAAAAACAAAGTAATATATAATTTCTTTGATGTCAGAATCCACCTAGCAGGAACTTTCTCTTGGCAATATTGCAAAAGGGATGCACATGGAATTCTTGCTGACAGTGAAGAAAACGGGGATGGGACAAGCAAGCAACAGCTCCCTCTGGGCGAAAAATGGTATTTCACTTCTAACCTCCTGCCAGTTTTGGGCCTCGATCTTCCTTTTGAAGTCCTTGGTCTCTCAAGCTTCATCAGAGACTGTCTCAAGCTTTCTTCAGTGTAAGCTAGATACACATGGGAAAGGTCCACCTCAAATGGCTGAATGGGGGAGCAAACAAACATTGTGAGCAGCACATCACATGTCAAGCCAAATACATCCAAAGTTATGAAATTAAAAGGTAACTGCAACAAAATTGGACCACATTTGTTGTACATTTGCAAAATGGGCACTTACATCTTTTTCTTTTTTATCTGGCACAGGAGTCTGTTTTCTCATGTTATTTCCTGTGTATGCCACACATTTCTTAAAAAGAAAAAAGTAAGACGTCAATTGAGTACTGCACTACTCTAAAGGCCTTTATTTTGAGAGACTGATGGCAATGGTTAAACACCCAAACAGATGGGAAAACTGCTAGTTAAAGTTTCCCACCTTTTTGTTGCTTTATTGGGGGGGGGGGCTGATTCAGTACCTGCTCTAACACTTCCTTTGCTAATTCCAGATTCTGACAGATGTTTTTTCTTCTAATCTTTTCATTATCACAATTTTGTGGGTTGCAACACTGATTACGGGAAACACAACAAGCAATCTTCAAAAGACAAACTTGCCTTAATATGGAAAATAAAGCAAAGGCAGCAAATTAACAGTGCCATCCTAACCAGACAGTGGGTAGCCATTTTAATTTGTAGTAAAACAAAATCTGAATCTAGTAACAACTTAAAGCATCTTACACAACATTTTCCAGGGTGAAACCTTTCATGAGACAGTTTACTTCATCAGATAATTTTTGTATCTGACAGAGTGAGCTTTGTCTATGAAAGTTTATACCCTGGACACCTGTTGGTCTTTAAGGTACTACTGCACTCAAATTTTGCTCATTCTAAACAGAGCTACACCCATTAAAGTAAATGGGAATAAGGAGGGTATAACTCTGATTAGGATAGCAAAGTAAGAGTTTCTGCAAGAAAGGTGGACTATATACAAAGTAAACTAATGAAGTCACACACTGCTTCCCCAGCAGCTGCTCGCTGACCCTGTCATTTTAATTACCTGCAATTAATTAAGAAAATATAGGATGTTGAGCTGCAAGTTCAAAATTAGTAGAGAGCAGCTAAAGGATCAGCTCCTCACTTCTCCATTACACAAAGCAGAATGAGTGGGGATCTCTCACCAATTTAAGGTGAGGTAGTCTGTGTTCGAAAGCAAGAAATTGCAAGTAGATAAATAGGTACCGCTTTGGTGGGAAGGTAACAGCGTTCCGTGCGCTTCGGCATCTAGTCATGCCAGTCCATGGACCACAGAAACATCTTTGGACAGTGCAGGCTCTTCGGCTTGGAAACGGAAATGAGCATCACACCCTAGAGTCAGATTTGACTGGCTTTCGAGCAAGGGAAACCTTTACCTTTACTTAGTCTGTGTTCCAAATTTGTTCAATACAAATTAAGGCTATCATCCTATACCAGGGGTGGCCAAACTTGTTCAGCGTAAGAGCCAAATAGAATAAATGTCAGATGTTTGAGAGCCACAAAACATGAACAAATATTACACGCACGTTTTTATTTAAAAACATGCAAATTTGCTTTTTTATTAACATTAAATAAGACTGCCAAAAATAAAAACAAAAGGGGTAAAAACACATATTGATAATGATATTTATTTGTCCAATGATATTTATTTGTTTGCTAATGATATTTATTTGTCTAAGAGAGAGAGAAAAAGAGAGAGGTGGAAAGAAAGGATGAAAGAGGTGGAAAGAAAGAGAGAGAGAAACAAAGAAAGCAAATAGGAGGGAGGGAGAAAAAGTGTGCCTCCCCTTTGCTTCCCCAACTGCCCTGTCGGGAGCCGCACAATATGTGTGAAAGAGCCACATGTGACTCCTGAGCCGCAGTTTGGCCACCCCTGTCCTATACTGTGTAGTTGAGAGCAAGCTGCATTAACAAATAAAAATTGAGCTGAAGTAGTAAAGGATGTTTCACCTAGCAGAAATGCCACATGTTTTATAGATGATAATGAAAAACCAAACACACAATGAACTGGATCCTACAGTTCAATGGACACTTCTGCTGGCAACACAGACTGCACTGATGTAAGAGGCTGCTTTCAACTAACTGCTTTCTCCTCTTCTGTTTTACACAGCTTTTCATATGACATAGTTTTTTAATCCACACAGAAGTCCTAACCACTGGCATTGCCTTTTTGGTGCTCATCATCAGCTGCTGAGGGAAAGGGAAAGCAGGAAAGATCTGCCTCTGCCCAGGCCTTCTCTGGTACTGCACAGGATTCAACCCAACGTCTTTACAGAAGCACTACTTTCACAACAGACAGCTGCTGTTTTTGCATCTTGCAATACATCTTGGGAAGCATTGGCAAAGTCATACAGATGTTTTTATCCAGCATCGAAGATAAACCTTCAGGGAGCACTGAAACTCTACATCACCTGGCTCCCTTGTTAGAGCTGTGCTTACGTACCAACTGCCATTCTCCAATGTCTTCATTCCAGTGAACATAGTTTTCAATCATTTCCTTGAAAGCAATGAGAAAAAAACCCTAAATTCACATCCTTGCTCCTCACTACGAAAAAAGGTAGCTTTTATAACCACATAAACCCATTTCTAACAGGACAGCTAAAGCCAACTGTAACAAGTCTGTCATACCCTACCACCTTTTCTGCTTCCCACGGCTGATAAGGTTGGGTCAGTATTTATGCTACAGGAGACAGGTGGTGGTTGAACCCTTCCCCATCCCCATCCCCCTAGCCCTATTCCATTTTGCTTATGCACTGTTTGAATTCAGGACATTGTGTGGGAAATAAACATATTACACAGTTGAACATTACAGAACCAGGGCTATTTTTGGGCAGGAACGCACAGGAACGGAGTTCCGGCTGGCTTCCAAGTTGGCCACGCCCAGCATGAACGTATTAGCATAATAGGCCACACCCAACAGCAGAAACTCATTAGGATTGGCTACATTAGGGGTGTGTGGTCTAACATGCAAAGGAGTTCCTGCTACAAAAAAGCCCTGGGTTTGAACAACAAACACGGTAAACAGAATAACAAGCAAAAGGTGGGTGTGGCTGGATGAGCACACGTCTGGTAACATGGGTGTGTGGCATAATATGCCAATGAGCTGTGCTGTCATGGGTGTGGCCTAATATGCTAATGAGTTTCTGCTGTTGGGTGTGGCCTATTATGCTAATGAGTTCCTGCTGGGCTTTTTCTACAAAAAGAGCCCTGACAGAAACTATGATTCTCTCTTAGGGAATTACTGGCTGTTACTGAGAAAATATATCAGGACAAGGACATTTCAGTATTACTGAGTCTTTTGAAATGAAAATGGGCTTCCTTGATTTTTGCACCTGATAGTCTTGAGGTATAAAGTTGTCTATGATGAGCATTTGAAGACGAAGCTCCCTGCTGAGCTGTCGAATGTTCTCCAGTAAGCCTTCAATTTCTCTCTGATGTTCCTGTTGCAGATCTGCCATCTATGAATACAGAAACAAGCCTCAAACAATCTACATCTAGAATCTGCTGATAAGAATTTTAGAATATCGCTGATCAAGATTCTTTTCCCCTGCACGTTAAATTTGTGGTAAAAATACATCAAGATTATCCCTTCAGTTTTACATACAGAATGTTACTGTTATGTTCAGAACCGGCCCTGCAGACTTCTGTCTGTTTAACTCTCCATCAGTGGCCAATTGGGTTATTTTCTACAGGTACTTTCATAAAGTCCACTTCGCAGGCCTGGAAAGAGGTAATGATAAAGGACTGCTACTGTGCTACTCTGCACCTATGATACTGGCTGTTCTAACACTGCATATGCTGCAAAATGTTAGAGTATCCTAGACAAATTAGATCCCACTTGACACACACACAAATGAACTGGTTTCTATAAAGTGAAGTGCAATGTATCAAAAAAGCACCAACAATTTCTCATCGCCAACCATTAAGCAAGTCCATGTAATCGTACTTGCACATGCCCCCCGCTTGCTGACTTTTTCCTGCTATTTCCCCCCCCCCCCAGATCCGGTTTCAATTGTAACCTCTTCAGGGTAGGGAATCTCTTTTTTAAAATACTCATCCTATCCAACAATAGCACCATGTACACCAGTGGAACCATATAAAGAAGTCAATATTTAAGAAGTGCATTGTTAGCATTGTCCAGTAAACAGATACGGTATTCATGCCAACTTATGTAACCCTGTATATCCACAGAGAATAAATCCTTGGTGGTAAATGTGCACATGTACGATCATATAGCAGTTCCCTTTTCACATTACTACGAAACAGCACAATAAACCATGCAGCAAGGAAGGCCTCCACTTTCATCTGCTTGCAGCCCTGACTTGGATAGCACAGGCCCGATCTCATCAGATCTCAGAAGCTAAGCAGGGTCAGCTCTGGTTAGTACTTGGGTGGGAGACCACACAGAAGTCCAGGGTCACTATGCAGGGGCAGGCAATGGCAAACCACCTCTTTTAGTCTCTTGCCTTGAAAACCCTATAGGATCACCATACGTCAGCTGCAACTGGACAGTACTTTCCACCACCGTCTGCTTACAACAGTACTTGGAAAGAGGGTTGCTCAGTTCCTGTCATGAAGAATCATGCTTAATTTCTTTTGAGACTGACCTCTGACTTTGCAGCCATTAGCATAGTCCAGACTTTCTTCAGCTTCTTGGTTTTCCCTTGTGCTTCCTCCTGAAGGCTGGTGTACTTCTCCTCTATGTCCAAACGTTCTTGCTATTTGAAAATCATTAAAAAGGGCCATATTAAAATACTTGGGCTCACTGTGGTACACGAGGACCAAAGCATTCTGCTGACATGCTAGTAAAAGGACACTCTGTAGCATGGACATTTGCAACTGTTTTTATAAGACATGATGCTTTTACAGTGTCTTCTGCTGTAGAAGCGTATGCCAAGAAGCCTATGCTAGTAGGGAAAACCCTGTTTCATCTTTCAGGCATCATCACACTAAAAGATTAGTCATAGTCTCTCATCTCTCATTTTAAACATGTATAATTTTCCGTAAGAAAGCAGTCAGAAGTATTGCAGATAGTTTAAATTGCACCTCTTTCTCCTCAAGTTCCTTACGGAGCTGCTCAGCTCTTTTCCTTCGTTCCTCAAGCTCCATGTTAGATTCTTCTAGAAGTTTCTCCTGTTCCTCTGCTTTTGCCAGCAAATCCACACCTCCCACTATCACTTTCTTCTCCAGGGCTGACAACTTCTCTAGGAGAGACTGATGTTCTTGCCTGGACAGAAAAATTAAGAAACAGGGAAATAAATAGGGTTCCTGTGAACCAGGATTCTAGAAACTCCAACTTAACTTGAGCTACATACACAGTGCTTTCCTAATGTCCCCAAGTGATATTAAACTGGAAGGAAATACAAGGAAGATCTGAGTTTGGTCATTAGTTCTCTATTAACTCCAGCCACACAGAGCAGGGCCTATTTTTTGGCAATTCATTCTATCTGCTGAACACCACTCAAGGCAAAGAGGTAGTCTTGCCCTCTGCTCTCGAAAAAACTCTCCTACTAGTTTGCATTAAGCTTGACAGCAAAGAATAGCAAAGAGGTTCAGCCTAAATGTCCCAAGTTCTACCCCACTCATTTCTTATGTCCTCAGCATTTTCTTTAAAAAGAAAAAAAAAAACCTGGGCAGCCTGAAAATATCTCAGATAACAAAGTCCCATTGTTAATTCTTATCTCTCACATTACAAACTGATGTTTGACAAGGCCAAATATACATTTGTGGCATAGGGATACTGCACATGCCTAAAAGGTTGTATGTAGGCATGGAGTGCATGCCTGGAATGTGTTCTTGAATACCTATAGAGTGTGGGAGATGGCTTCCTTTTCTTTCCCCATTTGCTAGGCAGGAATAATGATGTAGTTTGTGTATGTGGGCAAAGGGGATGTTTCTATATTGTGAGATGTGTGCACTTGTGTTTGGAAGCATCTGAAGTACTTTTGGGGCCTCTAGATATGAGAGCCATCAAGACTGGAAGCATTCAAAACATACACTATTTGACTTACAAACCATGTAGTCTACATGTCAGAAGTATATTGCCCAACACCTTCTGGAAAATTCCAAGGACCTGTCACTAGGCAGGCTTTAATGGTCAGAACAAGCCTTAGCTAGTGTGTCTACCGAAAATTAATCACTAGCGATTTCTGCCACCTTGAGGTTTCATATTCCAGTTTCAGGAACACTCACTGTGCTTTGAGAAGGTCCTTCTCTCGCTTCTCAAGTTCAGCCCTGGCTTTGTTTCGTTCTTCCTCTTCCATGTCAAGCTTTGTTTCAAGCGCTTTCCTCTCCTCATCAATTTTGGCTTGCATCTCCATCATCTTGTCAGGAGAAACCTTCTTCTTTCCTTTCAGGGGAGTTTTGGGCAAGTTTAAATAACTAAAAACACAGTATATACTAATAACACAATCTAACTAAGGTTGCCAACTCTGGATATATTAGGGGGTGGAGCCTGGGGAGGGACAATGCTGTAGAGTCCACCCTCCAAAGCAGCCATTTGATCCTGGGGTTCCTACCCCTATTGCTTGAAAATCAATTGTAATAGCAGGAGATCTGCAGGTCCCACCTGGAGGAGGGCAATCCCAAATCTAACACAACATTATTCTAATAATGCATTCTCAAATGAGGTTGTTTCTTTCATAAGGGGGAAGAGGATCAAAAGGATTACTGTTACTATTGGAACTTGGCAGCCATAAGAATTTAAAAGTCTATCACACAATCCTGTGATACATCTCAGTTCTGCCAAATGCGTTTCTGGTGGTTTACTAGCAATAATACATTTGATCAATGCCCTTAGTAAGGAACCCACATAAGAATTTTTTATCTGACAGCCCTACAGAAATTCTAATTTGTTTACAGACATATGTGAGACTGAAGGAATATGGAAACAACATGTGCTAGTACAAAAAAATTGTAATACAAATATATTATACAGTAATAAGGGCAATTTGATTGATACCACAATTACTGACACATACAAGATTATCTGGAAATGAACCAACTGGCAGAACATACACGCACAGCACTGTAAAACAATGAGTCAGCACTGTAAAACAAAACAAAAAAAACAGAAGTTGTATAGCACTAGAAAAATACACTACTGCATGAAAGAATACATTAAATGCTGAAAGAAAAATGAGTAAAATCTATCAAGCAATATGCAAAGCCAAAAGAAGAGCTGATTAGAGATAGGATAAAAGGGGAAAATAGATATTTTTGTTTTCCCCCGTTTTGCTCTTTCCCATATTACATTCTGATGCTTCTAGGCCAGAGACAGAATGATAACCTCTGTAGCTGGGGAAAAAATCATGTATTGCCTTTTTATAGGGAAGTCCCTTATAATGTCCTTGCTCTGTCTCACATGGCTATATCTGCTTAACGTAAAACTTTATTTTAGGAGTGTACTCTGCGTTGAGTTCCAGACTGTACTGAATTCATCACCTTAAGGCTGTCAAGTTATTTTGTATTACATATCAGTTCTGAAGTAGCTTGATAGGGAGAAAGCTATGCATTCTGAACAAACCCTTAGGCAAAATTCTTTATACTGTATTAGATGGAGTGCAAATCAAACACACCAACCTGCTTGATCTTGCATTTTAAGAGGCAAACAAATCGCAGAGGCAGCACACGCACAAAGAGGAAGGGGATGGGGAAGGAAGAAAGAAAAAAATATTATTGCTGATTTGTGTTTTTTTTTAAAAGAAACAAAAGTAAAAATTTTAATCTAAATCTTTGTGAACACAGATAAGAGAAAAGAAAACTAGCAAATTAAAACACCAAAATGCAAGATTAAATGTCCGCATTGCTGTTTCATTTCTATCTTGAAACAGGATAAGCATCCCACACTGATACGGTTTATCTGATATTCAGATCATTGCAGGCTAACACTGCTTTCCTGTACAATGTTATGCCAGTTCTACTCATGCCCTAAGAAACATCCAAGAAACATCCACTGGCCCTAGAATAAAACTAGATGGTTCACAGTGGTCAATTTGTCACACATTCAATTAAGCTTGCCTGGTGTTTGATTTAATTTGACAGGTCAAAGGTTGGCATCTCATACTATTAATCACATATGTTTGTATTTATTTTCTTTCTTTTTCTGTCATCAAGTCACAGCTGACTTATGGTGATCCTGTGGGGTTTTCAAGGCAAGAGAAGTTCAGAGGTGGTTTGCCTATGCCCACCTCCACATCACAACCCCAGGATTTCTTGGAGGTCTAGCATCCAAATACTAGCCAGGGCCGACCCTTTTTAGCTTCCAAGAACTGACTAGATTGGGCCAGCCTGTGCTACCCATGTCAGGACTTCTTCATTTAAAGGAGAGGATGTTCAAAAATCGTTAATGTCAATTTGCTAACAGATTCATTTAAAAAAGAGAGAGAACTTAGATGCTTCCAGAGAAGAAAAGTGCCAAATTTTTAACAGGTGTCGTCAAAGGGGGCAGGGGATGCAATGGAAACATGCAACATGCACAAAAAAGGTTGTCACATGGGGAAAAACATTTTTGTTGCAATTTGAAGGCCCAATCCGTGTTGCAGTCATTTCAAACTGGATTTAATTTAAAGAACAGTCAAGTGTTCTCCAGTTTGGAGCATTCCGTTGCTCAACATGCTATTCCACCTAACCACCCTAATGTCATGACCAAAAGAACATTTGTTTCAAGCGGTTCATGGAGTGCCTAATCAAGCCTCTAAGACAGAATTACAAATCAGTGACATTTATGTGCTTGTGAGAGATAAAATGCTGTAATCCAGCCGTTCCAATGTGCCCAATGAAACCCACAGACACACAGGCTCTCCCCCATGCACTTCTATAACAGAGAAATGCCTAGAATGCAGGCTAGGAATGTCACTGCACATCTCCAGAGTCCTTGCTTAGACTCTGGGCCCTGACAATGGGATCAGAAGTCATCTATTGCTTATCCACAAGAATCTGAATTATTTGCATTAGGCAGATACCATCTAACTCCTTTCCCAGATCTACAGCTAAAAAAAGATTGTGAACTTCCTATTATAATATACATTATATAATAAGCATTATGCTAATAGGTTAGCTCAGCAATAATACACGAAAAACAGGAACCAATTCTGTTCTTTTCCTTGGCTTTCTACACAAGCAGCACACTAATGTGCCTTCTGTTGTCCTGAAATCAGCTAACACTGAGCCTCTAAAACACACATTTTTGTTTTTAAAGTTTGAAACAGCAAAGGAGAAAGCATGCTTTACTCAGTAAAAGGAGGAGAGGGGAATCCATGTGTCACTCTGAACAAAATTAATGTAGGGGCAAGGAGCAAAATGCAGCATCAAAAGAACAAGTGCACAGGTTATGGAAAGGCCAAAGCTTCACTGGATGACTTAAGCACTCCCACTCACTAGTGAAGGATTTATCCAGAGGCTTCTCTATGACAGAGCATGTGGAGTCTGAACTACTGCTGCTGCTACTGCCTGGAAAACAGAGAAGTGGGCCCCATGGAAAACTCAGAAGAGAAGAAAGAAGATGAAGAAACACACAGCCAAGCATCAGTTTGAAAAGACAGGAAGCAAAAAGATCCAGCAGACTCGTTGAAATAAATCTCATTCTCATACCTTCCTTAAAATGCTTTTCTGTACAACCACCATACTGGGTAAATAGAACAGCATGCATGCTGACTGGTTAATAAGTGGTCCAAGTTGTTTTTTTAGTGTGAAATCACAGCAGACAACTGACAATTGTCTTGGTCTCAGTGGGGGGGAAATGCAGCTGGTTGTATCTTCCTTCCACAAATAGTCCATGCATGGTTTAATAATAACTGACCTGGCACCCAAAACTATTTTAACTGTGACTAGCTCGATCCTAACAATTCCACTGGGAAGAAATCTGGAGGAAAAGGAAAGCTCCTTTTCTGAATACAAATCAGGGAACTCTTCAAAAAGCAGCAGCATATTTGCCGTGAGATAGACATCCATTTTGATTAACATGGTCTGTCTGTCACTTCAAGCCCTACTAATACCCCCTACCTCCCACCCAAGCAATTCAGTGCATCTTCTGGTCCTGAATACCTGCTGCTGTTGTCACTATAGTTATTAGAGCCCTCCAACAGTCATTTTCTTTAAACTAGACTCCTGCTACCCCTATCCACATCAAAGACGATGATGGGTATATAACGTTGAAGGACACTGCCTCCAAATGGCTTGATATACCTTTTATTATAGCACGGGGAATGGAATAAATTGTCCCATAAAAACCTAACCAAATTAATGATGGTCTTCTGAGCTGGCATCTCAGACAATAACTGGTAGCTGTTGTTCACAGTCAACAACAAAAGGAACCAAAATAAATTGCTAACTAATGCAAGCCACACTCTTGTCTTCATTCCACCAAGTACAACGCAGGCTCTTAAGGTCTCAACAACTAGTACTTTGCTCTGAATCTGGAGCATAACTGGACAGGCAGAAGCTGCTTCTCTGAATTCAGATCATGGCAACTCTCAGGATTGTTTTTATCTACCACTGTACCAAAAAGAATCCACATAAGAAAGATGAGACCTGAGACCTACAGACTACCACAGTAACATGCCAACCTAAGCAGTAGACATAAATCCCATTCAAACGTCTAGTAGAACAGTAAATGCATAGCCCTGCTAATAATAGCCCTGATTTAAACAGACATGGTATAGGACTTTAGACAGTGACATTAAGAGAGGTCCTCACTCACAGACTCCTCATCACATGTACACATAATATATACTGTTCAGCTTTGATATTCAAATGAACTATAGTGGTGTTCTTTAGTGGGTCCAATATCCAATCTGCAGCTAGGTCCCATGTTCAAGTAACTGCAGACTCTCCATGTTTGAGATTCTCTTCTATCTGCTATAAGGGGTGCAGATGAGAACAAGTACATACAGGAGCCCCAAAGCCCATTCCTGACACCACCACAAACAGAGACCTATCAAAAGAAAATAGTTTCTTCATTCCACCTGCATGTAATTACTTCAAAATTCACATAGTAAGAGAACTATGCCTTCATACCAGTTCTTTTCAAAGGATATTTTTAAAAGAAATATCCAGATACCATGCCAAATCAGGGTGCACTCTTTAAATGAATTTCAGGCTTACATACATTTAGGCTGAACTGAAGGAATTTTCCCCATCTGACAAAATAAGTGAAAGTCAATGAATGGTCCAGCTGACTTTTTCCTTTAGAGAAATTATTCTTAGAAGCAACATGAAAGAAGACTCACTACAATGTTCTCTTCCAAAAGAAAGATGCACAACAAATCTTCACTTGCAAACCATGTATGAATGTCAGTTATGGGAATCAGCTCAGCTACAAAAATAAGATCTAGGCACTAGCACCAACACTCATTCATTGAATTAAGCCCCACTGACTACAGTGGAATTTGCTTTCAAGTAACATCCCTAACACTGGGACGTGTGCTCAAAGGCATAGCCATCTAGTCCAGGTGATCTGAAATATAGGAACAAATCTGCAGCCATCTAGATACAAAAATAGCCAGACAATATAGGCCTTCACTGATATCCGTTTCTAGTCCAATTAATGTGACATTACTGGATTCATAACCCACACCCTCCATTCCCATGTCATCTGAAAAAACATCTTAATATACCAATGTAGTCATGAACTATGAACAGCCTTGCTGTCATTTGGGACTCACTGTATTACAGAAAAAAAAAATTACCACCAGCTACCCAAGTGGAAGCAGATCTGAATTGTTTTCTTCTTTTTAGTGCAACTTATCAACCTAAACCAAATCTCTCCAGGAAAGTCTTTTTCTAATTTCGCCAGAATAACTGCAGAAAGCTCTACCACTATGAAGGCAATATAGTTAAAATGGGGAAAATCACAACTGTTTTTAACCATCTTACCCCTTCGTTTCTTTCTCTTTTCTCCATCCTCTCCAATTTCTCCATCATCATCTTCATCATCATCTTCAGAGCCACTTGATTCAGAGCCAGAGATCTCTTCCCCTATGGTATAATTGGGTTTATTATAGATACACAGGCCTTCCAGCAACTGTTCATTTGCATAATTTTATTGCATTAGATCCACAGACTTTGTGGGCTAATTTAAAGCACCCTGAACAATTCCAAGGGCTCACAAAATAGGGCTGCAAAGAACCCAGGCAGATTCTGCTGAGGAAATCAAGGGGGAAAGCCAGACATAGTTTACGAGGGTAGATATACGTAACCCTGATCTAGATCACTGTTATCCACCTCAACTTCAATTTAGTGTACCTCTTTTTCATCTTCAATTGTAACTGGCAAGCAAACTAAGAGTGAGGAATGAGAGGTGACACAATCCAATGTTAGATTCAAGCAGGGGTCGTTTGGGGCCAGAGCGCGCCAGAGCACCGCTCCGGGAGCCCAGGAGCAGGCACAAATGGCGGTGGCGGCAAGCCCCGCCCCCAATCTCCTTCTGTTTAGAGTCACGCCGCAGCAGCAGCGCTATCCCTCCATTGTATTCTATGGCCCCACAGAATACAATGGAGAGATCGTGCCGCTACTGTGGTGCTACTCCAGAGAGAAGGGGTTTAAAGTTTAAACCCCTTCTCTCTTCGCTCCCCCCCCCCAGTCCGCCTTGGTAGGCAGGCTGGAAAAGCAAACGGGGGGCATCTTCAAAAGCCTCCCCTTCCCCAGCCAGCCCGCCAAGGTGGGCTGGGGGAGGGAAGCGCAGTGGTGGCGCGATCTCTCCATTCTATTGTATGGAGAGCACTAGGGAGCACATGTCAGTCGTCCTCTTGCCCCTGCCGCCCAAAGGACTCCACATGGCGTGGGCCCTCCCACCTCTGCAGCGTAGTTTGCTGCTCTGCTCGCCCTCGCCTTAACACACGAAGGACTAGGACGGGACGCATGCGGACCTTGGGTAAGTTGAGAGTGGCGATGTCGCCACTGGAGCAGTGAGGCCACAGGCCAGTGGCTGGCCACCAGCAGCAAAAGGATCCTGCTGCCTGTGCCCCTGGGCCTCCACCGCCCACTCGCCTACGGTCTGCTGCCCCCGCCCACCCGCCTCCAGGTCCCACACAGTTCCCAGCCCAGCTAAAGCAACCGCCGTCCTCCCGGGCCCCTGGGCCGCCTGCCCGCCTCCCAGTCCCACACAGTTCCAGCCTGGCTAAATCACCCAGGCGACGCCCTCCCGGGCCCCTGCTGGGCCTACCCGCCTACCCATCTTCCAATCCCACGGGTCTCGGTCCCAGCCCAGCGGGTCCCGCTGAGGGGCTTTCCCAGTGCGGTGGAGTCACCGCGCTGGAAACAGAATGAGGCGGCTTCAGCTGCAGGTAAGACAAGCGGAGCCAGATGGGGCTGAATGGACCTCTCACTCGCTTTCTTCTTAGCAGGGTTACACACACACACACACGCTTATTGGTTTGCTTGCTGAAGTTTGATTTATTTATAACATTTATTAGCAGCTTTCCCTCTTCGCGGAACTCAAGGCAGCTTACTCGTTATGGTTTTTTGGATGAGGTGGAGAGAGATGTGCTGGCCCTGTGGGCGAAATTTCTTTTGTGATCTGGTTACAGGGTTGATTTCTTTTATAAAATTTGTTGAGCTGCGACAAAGCTGTTGGTCAGATCGGGTTACACTTCCCATTTGCAAGTGCCTATGGCAAGCTCCATCTCTTTCCCCCCATATATATTCACCTCCTTCCTCAGAGTTATGGGGGGGGGGGAGAATCCAAAGCCAAGTTTGGAGCCAATTTTCTCTTCCGCTTCGAAACCTGCACCAAAGCTGCCAGCAGCAGATCTGCCCAGTGACTACTGACACAATGCGGAGTCCCTCTTTCTGATTTGGAGAGAAATTCCCCCCTCGGCCAATCCTGGCTCTCGCCCCACATTCCTCCCCGCCTGACTCACTTGAAAGCCGGTTGCCCGCAGAAATGGACTTGTGGCTGCAGAGGGAGGTTGTCGTGTTGGGAAGTGTGTATGGCTCAGTGGTAGAGAATGAGCTTTACATGCAGAAGGTTTAAGGTTCAATGCTTGGTGTTTCCAATTGGAAAGTCTAGGTAGTAGGTGATGTGAAAGATCTGAACCTGAGACCCTGGAGAGTTGGCTTTCAGTTAGAGTAGATAATAGTGCCTTTGACAGACCAGTGGTCTGGTTAGGTATAAGACAGGCTCATATGTGGTGTTCTGATTTTAAGGTCTGCAGTTACTGTATTGTGTGGAGGGGGATCAAGACAGGTAGTTGTGTTAGTCTGTCTGTAGCAGTAGAAAAGAGTAAGAGTCCAGTAGCACCTTAAAGATTAATAAAATCATGAAAGCTCATACCCTGCCATAAATTTTGTTAGTCTGGACTCTACTGGACTCTTGCTCTTTTCAACTGTGTTATGTGTGTGGAGGTCCACATGACTGATGTTTTGTGGTGTCTGCATATACAACTCCAACTGAGTTAACAAGGAATTAGACTTGTTAGAAAGGGTAGGTAATTAGCAAAAATACAGAAGGAAAATTTATTGTATAATAATAATATTAAAGAGACTTAAATTTCAGCATCACAATTAACAGGATTTTTCAAAATTTGTGATTTGTGTTTTTCTGTTTGAGAGAAAATCAGAGATTGTATTACTTGTTCTCACAATTAAAAAAAAAGAAATTAGCAATTTCAAATTTTGTGTTTTTCATTCTTCCTAAAATGCATTTATGTTTGAAAACTGGTGGGTTCAGGGGGGGGGGGTGTGTGTGTGCAGAAGGTATCCTCGCCTAGTGTGCAAAAAAACCTGGTACTGGCCCGGGGGGGGTGGGGGAAGCGAAAGAAGGGGTTTAAAGATTAAACCCCTTCTCTCTGGAGTCATGCCGCAGCTGGGGAAGGGAAGGGGAGGCTTTTGAAGATGCCTCCCCCCCTTTTTGCTTCCCTTTCTGACATCACTTCCAGTGAAGTCAGGGGGTGTGGCATATGCTAATGAGCTATTATGCTAATAGTTTATTAGGTATGCTAATGAGCTCCTGCAGCTCTTTTTCTACAAAATGCCCCCTGGGTTCAAGTACCATCTAACAGGTATATCTAAACACCTCTTGGGTTTAAAACGTTAAATATTTAAGCTACCGGAATGTCTGTGTATGGAAAGCTCTGAATGCATTTGAGAACATTTAAAAGAAATGCCAGTCCTCGTTGCTAATCTCCGTCAAAAGAAAGGACCGGAGAGAAACAGGAAAATCAAACAAGGACTCAGGGATTACCTTCCTCCAACTTTTTCTTAAGCTCCTCAATTTCTTTTTGAAACTGGCGAAGCAAGGCATCTTTAGGGTCCTCGTTGATTCTAGCCTTGTTCTTGATGTTCTTGGCACGGTTGGCGTATCTCAGAGTGCTAATGGTCTCATCATAATTGTAGTCTGCAGGGCCAATGTTTGCACACTGAGAGATACATGAAAAAGTTACACACGTCAGTTTACAGAAACAAGGACAGGAGGAGGACAAGGACAAAATGATGACGAGAAACTGTTACTGCAAGCAACTTTGTCTCCTAAACCCATTAGACTGGATGTGGCTAGCCCATTACCAGAAAAGGACGTACCTACAAATATTAATATTTAACATATGAATAACATGCCATGCAATTCTTTAAAATAAATCATTTCATCACAAAACAGTCATGAGCTGTCTTTCAGACACACTTATTTTCAACTCTCCCCCAACCCCCATTGCTATTGTATCCCATTATTACCATCATGGTTTTGGAGTTACCACCAAGGGAATCTTGTAATAGTCGCGTCAATTTAGAGTTACGGTAAGGCACATGAGTACTCTTTCCGTCCACCAATGCAGAAATCACATTTCCAAGGGTGGAGAGAGAAAGATTAATTTTTGTAGCTTCCTTTAGTCGCTGCCCAGTGGCTCCAGTTTTTGCTTGCCTTTCTGATCCCTACAAGAGACAGAGAGTACCTTTACAAGGGATGGAAAACGCTTTCTACAAACAACAGCATAGGGCATGTTATGGAACATGTGCAGCAAAGCATCTGGAAAGAGAAATAAAGTGGTTGCCAGACTGAATAACAGAAAGGAAGAGGAAAAGCTCTGATTAATCAAAAAGTACATACTAAATATGGTCTACAGCATCTTTTACAACTGGACAGGAAAAGGAACGACCAAAGACATTTTGCCACCTCAAGCCAGCTGCATTGCACAAGTTGGTAGCTGCACTTCAGCAATATTGCAATGAACCTGGGGAGCTCCTCTCAGATTCTGTACTACTTCATTAATTTCCCCAAACCTAGTTGCCTCATTATAGTGCCACTTGGTCTGCTTGTATGATTGGACCAGTCCGGCACAGAAAGGAGAAAGGAGAAGAGCTACTGCACTACAGGAAGACAGGACAAAACAGCCATTTTTTATTTAAAGCTCCCAACCCTCACTGATGAAGGGATAAGCAGACAGACCACAACAGCTGTGTATTCTAGAGACTCATATGTTAGGAGTCACACTCAAGTTCTACCAAGTTTTTTAATCTCATGACCAATGGTTGCCACAAGCAACTGGACATTTCAGCTGCCCTAAAGGACCAATCACATTTTCCCTTAGATCATCACAGTACACTATTCCTTCTTCCTCAGTTGTTTGTACTGAGAAATAAGTAGTGTAATTACTGTCTTGCAAAACTTAAGGAGACTACTCATCCATAGCTATGTTCTGAATTCATGGTTTAAAAATATGTCCTGTTTGGCAAATAAAAGTGGTTTACTTAGATGCTAAAGTCTTAAAATTTATAGATGGGCCTGTGTGGATGTACCTAGGTTTGTATGCACCTGATTTTTATTCTCTGCCAATTGAGCTCCCCCCACAATGCAAGTTATGGCATTTCATCTCCTGTGCTAAGACACTGGCCAGGACAGATGCATTAGAAATGTATACCAGAACTTACCGCAAGATCTACTAGATGCAGCTTTCCCATGCGCACATGTATATTCCCATCAATGCCCTTTTCGCTGCACTCAATTGTGATTGTAAAGATAGCATGGGAACGGGAACTGTGTTCATTCATATTAGTGGCACCAACAGACCCTATGTAGACAGAAAAGCCAAAGTAACTTTAACCTTTAACAGTGACATGTATTGGGCCAATGAAGAAACACTGCTCTAAATCTCACTGGAGCAAATGCTAAACTTTGCACAGCTTATAATTAAATGCAATATTTTAAACACATTTATTGTTGTCTTTAGACCTTATTTTTTTAAAATCAAAGTTATATGTAATAATTACTGTTTCCTTATTACTTCAAGCTACCATCCTATATATATGGACCTGCGGTGGCTCAAGTGGTTAAGACGCTGAACTGCAGGCTGTGGAAGGTCAGTAGTTCAGCGGTTCGAGACCCGAGTGTGCCGCATGATGGAGTGAGCTCCCGTCTCTAGTTCCAGCTCCTGCCAACCTAGCAGTTCGAAAGCAAGAAATTGCAAATAGATAAATAGGTACCACTTTGGTGGGAAGGTAACAGCGTTCCGTGCGCCTTGGTGTTTAGTCATGCCGGCCACGTGACCACGGAAACGTCTTCGGACAGCGCTGGCTCTTTGGCTTTGAAACGGAGATGAGCACTGCAACCCTAGAGTTGGATTCGACTGGCTTTCGAGCAAGGGAACCTTTACCTTTACCTTTACCATCCTATATAGCTTTTATTGCTTTAAGGTGCTGCCTGGGAGAGTACAAGAAATAACTGGGGGGAGAAAGAGAAAAATTGTATAAGGTGGAGCAGTAAAATTGTTTGCTGGCACTCTTACTGCACAGTTTGTGGGTCAGCCTTGCATATATTCATGCAACAGGCCATAAATCGATTTAGATCTAGCTCCCATCCTATACACTACAGATGTACAGAATTCAAATATCAAGAATCCACTTCAACGTCATCTAACTCACAAGCTTCAAATACATGGGAAATTTGTCAGAGTGAACTGCAGTGAAATTCGATCTGCATACAGCCTAGATACTTGACAGTTAGTTAAAAACCTATCTGAAACAGAATAATAAAACCTTTAATAAAGAACTTAAACTTGTGATTTTAGAAACATTGCTACTCAGATCCACCTCCCACTCCAATATAGGGGCCCAGGCAGCTCATTAAAATACTACAGAATAAATCAAGCTATAGTAAACAGTTAAACGTCCACTGAATTATCCATACAGCAGTCCTACAATAAAAGCTGAAACTTAATGACTGTTAACCAATGGCCCTCTTCAATAAACCCACCATGGCTGCGGTCACATGGAGCAGTAGCCACGCTACTGCGACGGAAGATAGGCGGATTTTCTGGGCGCAATCTCACCGCCACATCTGGGAAGCGTAGAGCTCCCGTGGCAAACCCGAGGCTTCCCTCCAAAGATGCGCGGTTAAAAACTAGTACCTCGGAGGTACTAGTTTCCGGAAACCGCGGGGCAAGGGCGGGCGTCTGATCGCGGTTCTGGTGGCATCCGGCGCCCGCCCATGCCCCATTGCGAAAAGGTTTTTTTTTCCTCGAAGTCTCCAGGGATGCGCACAAGCACCCAATGGGGCATGCGCATACTTCAGGTTAAAAAAACCCAACACAATCCTGTTTGCCGCACCGCTTCTTTGGCGCGTTGTGTGATCGGCACCTCCCCCCTAACCACGGGACCTCGACAGGACCACGAGGGGACACCTGATCGTGCAGCTGCGCGTTATTTAGCTGCGGGGCAAACAGCCACGCCTCCCCCCCCGCAATATCCGACCCGTGTGACCGGGGCCCATGTATGCTTTCCTGAAGATGGAGCTAGTGAACACCTGATTGTTTTTTTCTATTGTTTTTTTCTTCTCATACAGCCCAGTTAAAAGAGTCAATGTCACACACAGGAGACAGAGTACTAGATGAAAATAGAAAGTCATGCTCGAAGACCTGGTTAGTCATGACGCACAGTGGGTGGCCCTGAACAAGTTACCATCTCTCAGCCTAACCTACTGTGTACAGTCGCTAACAAGATAAAATGGAATAACCCCCTGTACATCACTGTGAGAACTTTGGAAAAATGCACTTTCAAAATGATCAAATCAAATTAAAGCTATTTCTTTTATGTCAAAGAAACTGTTTTATAAGAATGCAAAACCTTTAGGTGCAAAACTGTCTATGTCAGAAGTAACAACCAAGATCAAGAGTATTAACTAGGCCGCTTCCTTCAGCTATGTCACAGTTGGCCATATGTAATAAACACTATGACAATCCAGAAAGGGTCACAGGACCACCAGACGGACCCATAAACTTACGGTTTTTGTGTCCAAGTGTCATAATTCTATCCATATCATCGGCATTATTTACAACATAAGCCGAAAGATCTTTGATATAGACACCCACATCAGGCCGTTCTTTAACCTACAAGACCAGGGGGGAAGAAAGTCAAGCAATTTTTTTAAAGAGGTGCTGAGAAAGTACATTTCAGAAATACTGCTCCCTGTAACCTTTGAAATTACAAAAGTAGTTGTTTCAATAATAATTTTAAATGTTTGGATCCTAACCCTTTCTTCTGTTTCTGCAGAGCTGTTCTTCCATTGCAGAGGCACTCCTCCTTCACAGTGCACATTCCTCTGGCTCTAGGTACTTTCAGCTCATTGCCAGATGCTGGTCTCATAATGAGCAGAAAGTACCTACCTCCGGACAAGACCCTCTGCAACAGAACATCCCCTCAGTAATGGAAGAACAGCACTGCAAAAACAGATGTCCCTAAAGGAAGGGTGTTTATTTCTAAAGAGGTGAATATGTGGCAGAGGGACCCAATTAGAGAAACATGCGAGAGTTCTGTTGGATACCACATCTATTCACTGAAGGTAAAAGGGGTAGATGGCAAGCTCCGCTGAAAGTAACTTAGAGCCATGCCCCAGAGACTATCTTGTCCATTCATCATTTCCCAAGTTACTACACAATTGGACAGAGAAGGGTCCTGGTTCTCTTATGACTGAGCCTTTCAAAAGATATTCCAGTAGAGAGCTTCTGAATGCAGAGCAGCAGAACAGTATGTACAGAATGAGCTAAGCTGATGAGGTCTGCCACCTTCTGCCAGCTAATCAGCTTACTCATTTCTTAGACACTCTAAGCAAGAAATTGAAAGACTGCAGGATTCGAGTCAGTGGGATTTTAACATCAATTGATTTCAAGTGACAAGAATGGCAGAAGACATGAATGACTAAACAGGAAAATAAATCAGTTAAGGACAAGGAATATCCGTTACAGATATGAAGCTAGCTATACTAGGAGTGGATTTGTTAACCACTACTGACTAAGCCATACTTTTACAACCTTCGTTAGAAAAGTAAGGAGTTGTATAATTTCCCCCAGTTTGGCTAAAACGTAAATGTAAAAAGTTACACACACACAGAGACATTTTAAAGTTCGGGAGCTGGAATGGGGGCAGCAATTCTAGATACATTTCACTTTGCAAGCAATGACTGAGGAATCCTTTGTTCTTACTTCCAGCCTCTGTGTCTGATCTTTCCCCAGCAGGTCACGCACTTCCTCATTGTAAATTTCCAAGTAAGAGACTCGAACCAAAAACCTGAATTCATAATGCCAATCAACAGGAGCATCATCAGAATTAATTCAATCTTACAAGGAAACAAAAGCAAACACACACCGGCTTGGTTAAATTTTATATATATATCACCACTACAACCAGCCAAAAGGAAGTTGGAATGCCATTCCTATCAGAAAGTACCAAGGTATTTGGGGTTTATGACATACTCCTGAACACCAAAAATGGGGGGGGGGGGGGAGAAGAAAAAAAATAAAGGATGTTTACTTCCATGCCATGCTGGTGGTATTTCCACAGGCACCCTTTGTTCTCATTAAGTACAAGCACAAAACAGAAGTAATAGGGCTAGTGGTCGGAAAAGGCAAGGAGGTGACCTACCTCGTATCTCCTTCTGCTTTTGCAATGTGCCCAAATATATGAGCAAAGGAATTTGGAATGATCCCCCTGAGTTCTGGTACAGCACGGACACCTTCCATAGTAAATGTTTTTCCTGTTCCAGTCTGCCCATAAGCAAAAATGGTACCTGCAGGACAAGAACAGCACTAATGATTAATCATAAATGAGACAGAAGGATTTTTAATCCCCTTTTTGGCACTACCAGAACCATTAGGGCAAAAGAGCATAAACAGAATCTTGCACTCATACATTCCTGGAAGGGGAAGACAGGTGTATTCCAGGCCACAGCACTTATCTGTGGCTTCATTGTTGCTGCTGCAACCCCAGATGAAATGCAGTGACAATGGGGCTTACAAATGGCAGGATTTCTCCATGTTTTCCATGTTACTATAGCTGATGATCCATTACATAGAGAGCAGAAAACTCATGGGCTTTTTTGTGCGCTTGTGCTGGGCAATATATCAGTGTTTCACTGTCCAAACATGCTCACTGCCACCTTTCTGTTCCATGTATGTGTTACTTATCTATGACTGGTGGATACTTTTCCATGGGAACACCTGATTGGCTGCTTGCCCAGGTCACTTGAACTGGCTTTAGCAATAAGCCATTTAAAAATGGAAATAATACATGGAGCATGCAATTGAATTAAAACGACCAGCCTGACGTGTTGTTACAGTGATTTATCAATAATATGCAAATATTTGTTTTTTTCTAAATTCTGCTGCCTTCAGCACCTCCCAAAATGGTGCAGAGGTGGGCAGCTCCTTTTAAGCAGAGCAGACCTTTCCAAAGGGCAAAACATAATTCCAATGTGTATCTCAAAGGAACACTGGAGCAAAGGTGATTTACAAAGCATGGGGGAAACTGCAGAGAAAAACCACAACAACAGAGGCTATGCAATGAATACTGTTACTGTGGCCATAATCTCTGTGATCATGTAAACTGCATGTGTATATCACATACTTCAGGGACCTCTATATGGCGAGAAACACATTGCACACCCTTCCCCTAGGAAAAGTTGGTGGCATACGCAGAAAACCAAATGGTTAGCATGCCTGCTTATACTTGCTTATACAAAGATGGTCAAATTTGAGCCCGACAGTTTCATGCATGCTTTTGAAGCCTGACAAATTAGGGCCAATGTGGCACTCAGCTCTGTAGCCACCCTGAGCTGGCCTCGTCTGGGAGGGTGGGGTATAAATTTGATAAATAAATAATAGTCAGAAAATCCGGGGGGGCAGGTCACTTGGGGGGCAGGTCACTTGGGGGCCATTCCTTCCCTTCCAGGGACCCCCTGCCCCTTCTGGTCAGTTTCACTCCCCTCCAATCAGCTGTTAGGTTTAACAGGTGATCTGCCAGACTGAAACTGACCAGAAGTTTCAGGGCAGCTTCCCTGAAAGAATCGGTGACGGGCAGGGGTAAGGAGTGCAGCAGGGATGGGAAGGGTGTCTGGCACCCTCCCGGGGTGGGGCAGAGATGATCTGTGATGGGGCTCCACCCACAAATGCCCCACCATGGCTACAGGCCTGCCTGGTGGCACTACAGCTGCATGCAATGTTTGCTTGATAGCAAAGTACCACTGAGTGATAGGAGTGCTTAACCCTGCTTCTGTCTATTCCATTTTCTCTGGAAGCTCTCCCCTCCAACCCAAACATCAACAGTCTTTAGGCTCATATTAATGATACAATGTGGGTCTGGGACACTGCAGTGATGGAGAGGAAGAGGAGAAAAACAGCTAGGAGAATTTGGGGGCAGTGGGGAATCTGGCAGAAGTATTAAGCACTTCCTTTCCTCTGGCCCTTCTTTGCGTCCTCCTGAGGGTGCTTTGTAGCAAAGAAGGGACTGTGATGCCACATTCACAGAGCTGCTGTATAACGTTTACTGTAGTTAGGCCGTTAGATCTACCAAAGAAGGAAGTACATAACTGGCTGCATCCACACATAACGATTGGCTACTGAGGCATTGTTTCATTCTGGCAACCATCCAGAGCTGGATTTTCCTTCCTGAGCAAGCCAATGCAGTTGCAAATGACTGCTGTAGTGCAGCAGTAGTATAATATCCAACAAGGTGTGGATGCAGCCATTGATAAACAAGTCCTGGAAGGAAAATAAACTGCTGACCAAGAAACACACAAGTCTGTGACAATCATAAAGCTAGAAACTCATTATCACTTTTTGAAAAAATAGCTGAAGGGATATCCTGAGATTGGGCATGTGAACCATTTTTGAGAGCCAGTTTGGTGTAATGGTTAAAAGCAGTGGACTCTAATCTGGGAGAACCGGGTTTGGTTCCCCACCCCTCCACATGCAGCCATCTGGGTGACCTTGGGTCAGCCACAGTTCTCAGGAGCAGTTCTCTCAGAGCTCACAGGGTGTCTGTTGTGGGGAGAGGAAGGGAAGGAGATTGTAAGCCAGTTTGGTGTAGTGGTTAAATGTGCGGACTCTAATCTGGGAGAACCGGGTTTGATTCCCCACTCCTCCACTTGCACCTGCTGATGTGACCTTGGGTCAGTCACAAGCTCTGGCACAGCTGTCCTTGAAAAAGAGCAGTTTGTGTCAGAGTTCTCTCAGCCCCACCTACCTCACAGGTTGTCTGTTGTGGGGAGGGGAAGGGAAAGGAGTTTGTAAGCCGCTCTGAGACACCTTTGGGTAGTGAAGGGCGGGGTATAAATCCAATCTCTTCTTCTTCTTCTAAGCCAGTCTGAGACTCTGAGTGAAGGGCAGGGTATAAATCCAACTCTTCTTTCCACAACAGTTTAACAAGCCAACAGGTATTTTAATGTAAGGAAACCTATACTTAGGAGTTCAAGCACGTCTCCACAACAGCCTTTCTAACACAGGGTAAATTTTTACATTGTTTCATTCTCACTTATGCATACCCAAGTGCAAAAGAAAAGCAGTACCATTAGCTGCACATACATCAAATAAAGTGTAGAACATATGTTTGATCCTACATGCATGCACCCTTCACAGCTGGAGGTACTTTAGCATGCATACCCTTTGTCCCACAAGGAGAACTGAATGCCTGCAAGATGGAAAGCTGGCACAGCATTATTCCATGCCAATACCATCCTGAGCCCGTGCAGGTGCCAAACACAGTGATCAGAACAACAGATCCCATAAAATTCCATAGCTCAGCTGAGCTTTGGCATATGAAACTAAGGGCTTTTCCACATTCTCATGTTCCTCACTTGTTTGTTCCTGTTTTTTTTGGGGGGGGGGGTTTCTGTTCCATGTGTATTTTGCTCCCTCTGGTGGCTGACTCGATACTACATCGTTTTATATCCAGCAAGAAAACCTGTGTAAATTTGCAGATTTTTATGCCGAACATAGGCCAATATAATATCGAATTGACCACTAGAAGGAGCAAAACATGCATGGAACAGAAACAGCCCCCCCCCCCAAAGTAACAAGAACACACAAGTGAGAAAAATGAGAATGCTGAGAAGCCCTAACCCAGGGGTGTCGAACTCATTTGTTATGAGGGCTGGATCTGACATAAATGAGACCTTGTTGGGCCGGGCCATGTGTGTCATAAAATGTAATGCCAGGTAGTGGAGATATAAACTTTATAAAGGAAACAAACACAAAGGTGTTTTTTTTACTTAAAATAAAAACATGCTTAAACATTAGCACTCTTGCAATATTTTGTTTATTTAACAGTGTCTGATAACTGACACCTCTTGCTTTGAATTATTGCATCAAAATGTCTGTGCTGTTGCAATCTTGAGTATGCTGTTCAGGTGTGTATCTGTAAGCTGCAAACATACGATGACACAGCAGCAGCAGAACTAGAAGAAGAAGCAGAAGACAGCCAGTTCTACTGTGGGCCTGAAAGAAACCCTCCGGGGGCCTGATCCAGTCCCCAGGCCGCATGTTTGACACCCCTGCCCTAACCTATACATTTGAATCAGTCTGCAGCTCCAGCTACAGTCTGAGTTCTTGTGGGGTGGCTAAAGTAGTAAACATTTTGCTTCAAGACAGACATTCAACCACAGCAACTGCACACCAAATTTCTAGCTTGGGCCTAGTTTTTAAAGAATCAAATCTGAACATAGATACAGAAATACTGAAGTAAAACAATAATAATAATTTGTTCCAAAAACCTCTAAACGTCCTACCTTCTGTAACTTAGCCACTTCTTGCCTTAGGCATGCTAAAGGACTGCATCTTTAGAACTAGGCTTGCCAGCCCCCCCCCCCCCCCCCCCCCCAGCAACCAGTGGAGTATGAAGTCAGGGTTTCCAGATCCAGGTTGGGAAACTCCTGGAGATTTGGGGATGGAGCCTGGGGAGGACAGGGACCTCAGTGGGGGACGATGCCACACAGTCCACACTCCAAAGTATCTATTTTCTCCAGAGGAAGTGACTTCTGACATCTGGAGAAGAGTTTAATTCTGCGGGATCCCCATGTCCCACCTGGAGGCTGGAATCCTTATTTAGAACTCTCCCCAGCTGTCCCCTTCTGTTGCCATCTTCTGCCAGCAGGTAAAGACTTTCTGGTTTGATCCAGCATCCCCTCAGTGACCCTTACTTCCTGTCCTATGTTTTGATTGTTGTTTTATGTTTTGTGTTGTGTTTTACCTTAATTTAATTATTCTAATGTTTTTCCTGTTTGGTTTTTTTAATGGCTCTTAAGTTGTGTTTTATTATCTGTGTTTTTAATGTGTTAGGCATCTTCATGGTCCTGATGATGGCAGAAAAGCAGAGTATGAATTTTGTACATAAACAAATAGGACACTCCACTGTAAGTCTTAACCATCTCTGTATGTTAAAGTACCTACTGAAATTAACAGAATGGGTTGGATCCTGACTAGCATTTTTGCAGGTGCAGGGACTTCTACTCACAGAGTGCAATTTCCCCACCTCTCTCCCACCCATGAGAGTCCAAAATACCCCCCAAAACCCTGTTCTTCCCCCAGGAACAGAATTTCAAGGGGCACTTTGGGCTCCTGCAAATAAAGAAAATATTACAGTTCATGAGTAGAAGTCCTTGAGTCTGCAAAATCACTGTTGGGATCCAAGCCAATATCGCCTCAGGAACACTCTAATTTTGCCATATGCAACCCAATCAGCTATTTTTGTTCAAGTACTCACAAATGTTTTGCTATTCATGAAAAAGAGTGTATGATTTCAAAAGAAATCAGATGCTTATTAACTACTAAAAAAATAGCTAATGTGAACAGCCAATCAGCTTTACAAATGCCCGAGAAGTTCACAACACAAGTCAAGACCCACCAGAACTGCATGGGTAAGAACACAAGGTTTCTGTGACAAAGAAAACAGCAGTGCATTAATCTGAATATGCAACTGATCTTGGCATGTGTACTTAGGGCCTCACCAGAGAATGGTTTTTAATATAATAATTGCATGGTTGCATATTCAATTGCTGCATGGGATCCAGACCGCTTTCCTCTACTTATTACTTCTGTTACAAAGAAATGTTTGTTTTACAGCATTTGAATTGCAATACATTGTTGTTCACAAAAGGCAATCTTCCTGTCTTGTGCATAGTTCCTCAATCTGCATCAAACATCTCTCACAAATAAAAATAAAGAATCTTGTAATTCTCTCTTCCTGGCTTCCCACAAAAGCAAAATTTAGGATGACAGAAGGGCAGACAGTAAAAAATCCCAATCCTTCTGAACAAGTCTTTGAAGCAAAGCAGAGCATCTCCTCTTCTTTGTCTTGTTTCATAGGGCCTGGATGTGGTAGTCTGAGAATTTCACACACCAAAGCATGCAGACAGGAGGCAGGTTGCATGAAAAAGCATGCCAATTAGTCAAAATAATTTTTCCTTTGCCAAATAAGAAAACAAGAAATACTGAAACAAAGTTGATATTCCAATATTAAGTACAACACTAGAAGCAAGCATCTACATATATAACACTGTGCATTTGTAATAATGAACAAGCTTAACAGTGCAACCCTAAAATAACTTTCCTGAAGGCCCCATTGAATACACCTGAATAGGATTTTGAATAGACCTGTTTAGGATTGCACTGGAAGGACAACACAGAAGACTTTATCCTTCAAAGGCCACTCCTACCCCTGCTACCACTACTGCCCCTTCATACAACCAGGAAGCACTTACCATTATATCCTTCCAGAACAGAGTCTATAATTGGCCTTGCCGTTAAGTTATAAACATCAAGCTGCTTGCTCTCTGGTCCAAAAACAGTATCAAATGTAAATGTCTTGGGAGGTTCATTGGAAGAATCTGTTTTGTGGACAGTAATGGTGCCTCTCATCTCATCCACATTAACAGCCATCTTGTAACACATTGCTTTCTCTCGTTCATTGAAAGGCCGGCAGCGAACGACGACCTTGACATTGTCAGAGTTGTCAGGCTTGTCCGGCTTCTCTGATTTGTTAATCTGCATTTTAAAAAGCAAATGAAAAAAAAGAAAATGAAAAAAGAAAAAAGAATAATTTTAACCGTCTAGAAAGCACTTCTTAGGTTAGCTGGAGATCATTAATCCACTTTAGAAGAGACCTGTTACCAGGGTTTACAGTTCTGCACCAAGTTAAATTGCCACAGAAGACTGCTAAAACTATCAAAACAAACAAGGGAACACGAGCAATGTGTAAGATTCAGCTGTAGCAAATGTCTGTTGTGTGCATGGTCATCAGCGGATTCACCTTAGATATTAGAATAATCAAGCACCCCCAATTGTAGACTACAAAGACCACCTTCATCGCTTATTTCCTTCTACTACGTAAACTGATCTGAGTTTCTGACTTGTTTCTATGAAAGACACATCTGACAACAAGCCAGTCAGCGTAGTGAAACCCACAAGAAACAACCTGTTTTATGTTTCACATACATGGAACAATTCTGTTACATCCTGGAATATGATAGTCTTCCAGAGTTTTCTTTTCATATGATGTCTTCCAAGAAACCTCCAGTGTTACTTTAACTCTCCCCCCCACCCCCAGCAAAAAGACAAAAACCAGATCTGCCTTTTTAAAGAGGCATGTGAGGAAAACAGCACGCGGCAGTGACATCTCTCTCTTAAAATGATGTGTGTTGAATCCTCAAAATGCTTCATAAACTCTGAAGTTCTGTTGGAATTGAGACTTTTGAGAAAAACTATGGATAGGATCAGACTCTAAGTTACATGGCTACACGTATGATCAGTATGATTTACAAATTTGAAAAGTCTTCTCCAGTTGAACAGAACACATCTGAATTTATTACATTTATTCTTTAATTAAAACATTTCTGTCTTGTGATTTCCGCAGAGTTCAAGGTGGCTTACAATATTTTTTAAAAATCCAAACAAAACCAGAATAAAATAACAGACCCCATATCTGTCCCTCGCTCTGCCCATAAAAGATGCTTCCCATTCAAACCCTTCAAATGCCCTCACAAATGGGCAAACTTTGCAGCACCTCCTGAAGATTTCCAAAGAGGGGGGATACCCTCACCTCCTTAGGGAACCCATTCCACAGAACAGGAGCCACAATGGAAAAGACCCGGGCTCTAGTCAATGCCATACGGGCTACCTTAAGTGATGGGACAGCCAACAGATGATGCCTGAAGACTTGTAGTTGGCACACAGGCACACACACAGGAAGGTTACAATTCTTCATATATGTGGGTCCCATGTCATGAAGGGCTTTAAAGATCATAACCAACATCTCGAATCGAATTCCAGAACAGACTGGCAACCCACATAGCTGTTTCAAATGGGCAACATATATTGCCAGTGGCTGCGGTGGCACAAGTGGTTAAGATGCTGAACTACAGGCTGGAAGGTCGGTAGTTCAGCAGTTTGAGACCCGAGTGCCGCATGACGGAGTGAGCTCCCGGTCTCTGGTTCCAGCTCCTGCCAACCTAGCAGTTTGAAAGCAAAAAACGGCAAGTAGATAAATAGATACCGCTTCAGTGGGAAGGTAACAGAGTTCCGTGCACCTTGGCATTTAGTCATGCTGGCCACATGACCATGGAAATGTCTTCGGACAGCGCTGGCTCTTCGTCTTGGAAACAGAGATGAGCACTGCAACCCTAGAGTCGGATTTGACTGGCTTTCGAGGAAGGGAAACCTTTACCTTTACTAGTCCCTGACAGGAGCTGAGCTGCCATATTCTGCAACAGTTGTAGTTTTCCAGTTGTCTTTAATGGCAGTCCCACATACAGTGTGTTGCAAAAAGCTAACCAGGAGTTTACAGAAGCATGGATTAGTGTAGCCAGATTGGCTAAGTCTAGGTAATGAGAGTTGGTGAGCCAGATGAAGCCAATAGAAGGAGCTCCTGGCCACCATACCAACCTGCTTTTCAAACAGCAAAGGAGGGTCCATGAGCACCCCCAAGCTCGTAACTTGCTCTGAAAAAGCCAATGTCACTTCATCTAAGACAAGTGGATTCAATCCCCCTAGAATATCAGCCTTCCCAACCAGCATTACCCCTGTGATGTCTGGATTCAGCTTTTTCTGCCTTAGCCACCTGATCACAGCCTCAAAGCACCAGTTCAGAACCAAGAGGGATGTATCTGAAGGACTGGATAATGAAATACAAAACTGGGTGTCATCTGCATATTGAAATAGCCAACCCAAAGCTCCAGACAATCTTGTTCAGCACCCTCATATACATATATTAAAGGGCATGGGTGAAAGAATAGAACTCTGTGATACTCCACAAGAAAAATCCCAGAAAAAAGAGCTGCCGGAGACCCAGGCCCTGCGGGACCTTGTGCAGTTCTGCAGGGCCTGTAAGACGGAGCTCTTCTGCCAGGCTTTTAAGTAGGAGCCACCACTACCTTAACATCATTACCAACTGGCCCTGGGAGAAGAGAACGACAGCGCCACGTGGAACTGACATCACCAATTTGGGAGTACCATCTTTAAGACACCATCTTTTTCCTGAAGTTTGTTCCGAAACATCTAGAGCACTTATAATGTTGTAATATTGTATTTATTGTTTTAATCTGTTTTTATGTATTGGCTGACGCCCCATTTGTGAGCCGCCCTTAGCCTGCTTGCGGGGAGGGCGGGCTATAAATTAAAATAATAAATAAATAAAACCAGTTGATTCTGGTGAAGACTCTTTGTGTTCAGTCAGACAGAAAAAAGTGAAATCACTGAATATACCCTTAAGATCAATTCCATATTCCATCTGGTGGATAAAAATGGAGTGGTCAACTGCCATCAAAGGCTGTGGAAAGATCTAATGGTATCAAGAGGGAAGACTGTCCCCTGCGCAACTTTAAGCAAAGATTATCGTCTTGTGCAACTAAAACCAAACCAGGCTGAAATGGGTCAGAAGTAAATGTGTCATCCAGAAAGCCCTGGAGCTGCTCTGCCACCACACGCTCTATCACATCACCTTACTTAGAAAAAGTAGATTGGATAATGGCCTATAATTGGCCACCTCATCTCTAGCCAATGAAGGTTTTTTGAGCAGATGTCTAATAACGACTTCCTTCAAGGGCCTACAGAGAGCCCCCTCAATCAGGGAGGCAATGACAATTTTCACTAATACCTTTTTACCTGCAAGATTTTAAAAATCAGGACAGGCATGGGTCCAGAGTACAGGTGGCGGCACTCACACACCCAAGGACCCAGTCAGTATTCACAGGCATAATCAATCTGAAGTTACCAATAACAAAAGAATAAGCAAATGCTTTTGACACCTAAGGTACCAGACCTACTCTCAGCCTGGCCTCCAAGGCAGGATGGAGGCAAGAGATTTTGTCAGCAAAGAACCTTGCAAAAACATCAGAGTTACAGGCCAATTTTTCATCACTGGCAGGATCAGACTTAGGTGCTACCGGGTGATCAACCACTTTAAACAATTGACCTGCGCAATATTCTGCAGATGCAACAGTGGGACAGAAGAAAGTGTTGTTCGCTGCCATCACTGCCACCTCATAGGCCTGCAGATGGGTTCTGTGATATGTTCTGTCTGATCCATCCTGAGTCGTCTGCCAGCATCACTCTGGTCATCTTCCAGTCCACTTCACATCACCCCTGGTAAGCTAAGAAGCTGGGGGTTCGCAGAGCATGGAAGAGGATGCCAAGCAGCACTTCTATCCATGGCCCCAGCCAGCCCATCAGTCCATGCTGCTCGCCATTAAATGTGATCTCCATTAGACTTAACCACTTAGAGAGCCTTGCTTTGGAGTGGCATATAAATTTAAGCAAATCAAGTTGCATGCAGCTTTCAAGAAGACATAAAGGATATCTGCTCTCAGCAATGAGCCATATACATTGTTATACATAGAAAAGGAAGGAGGATTTTTAATTAGTGTCTTAAATAAATTCTAGTTTTCACATTCCTTAAGCAATTGTAATGAGAAAGTAACTAAATGCTTCTTTTTACATTTATTGATACACACACTATTAGTAATAAGCTTAAATAGATTTTCTACCACATTTTATTGAAGGCAGTCAAAAAGTCTTGGGAACAGTTAACAGCTCAGTATTTGTAAAACACATACTTTAACTCTTTTTAAGGTGATCAACAAAGTTTGGTGTTCGGTGTCATCTTTACAGCCTTCCCCCTACATCTCTTTCTAACTCCCTCCCCTTGTATGGAAGAGCCTAGGACCTCAATGACGTGTACAACTGCCAGGGCCAGGGGAGTCTGCAGAAGGACTTCTTCTTTAAACTGACCTCAACCATTAGCCAACCATATGCCACTAATGAAATGGAGAAAATAAGCAAGTTGTACTAAGAACATGAATAACTGATAAATTCTGCTGCTTAACCCAAACTGTGTATAACGTATATTGTGATTATCTGTCTTCAATCCAGATCAGAGGTGCACACAGACAGTCTGGATTGCATCTGACTATCACTAGCTTGTCATCTAAAAAATAACTAACTTTGAGACATTGTTACCAATTATTTCTTTTTAAAGAAAAGGACCAAGAAGGAGCCAAGCCTTTCTATATTTATTTTCTTTAAAAGATTAGATACCTGCCTTTCTTCCAGTAAATGTGACCCATGGTGGGTAAAAAGAATAAAGCGATCTCTTACAATTACAAAGTACACTAAAAACATCAACAAAACTAAAATTAAATTCAACAGATCAGTCATCAAACATATAAACACTACCATCCTAAAACTATAGCCCAAATAGTTCATATGGCCCTCCAATCCTATACGATATTAAGAAACTTGAAAGGCTCTCCTGAAGAGTTCTGTAACTCTCAAAAGCTTACACCCTGATAATCTTGTTGGCACTGGACTTGAATCTAGAAATTAAAGGAATGCACATACTCAGAGGGACTATCATTATCTTTAATTTTCCTAGGAAAGACCTATTTCACAGATAACCATAACATAAAAACCTGAACCCTGAATTTAATTAAATTCCCAGATTCAACACAGTCATTTAACACTCATGGTAAATGCTGTTGTTACAATAACAGATTTGC